ACTGCCGAAGAGGTATTTGTGCAGTTCAAGAGTGAAACGGGTAGAATGTATAGAGTCATGGATTGCGCTGGTGGCACCGAACCAGAATCACTATTCGTCACCCTTGGCTCTGGTTCGACGCATTTGCAGAGAATTATCGAACGTGCTCAATACTTACGGCAAGTTGTTGCGCCCCAAGAAAAATTTAAGGTTGGCATATTGAAGATTAGGGTGTATAGACCATGGTCAGAAAAATGCTTTTTGGATAGTCTTCCGAAGACGGTTAAGAATGTTGTCGTATTGGAGCAAGTGGTCGCCCGCACAACCAAATGGAAACCCTTATACCTTGATGTGGTTGCCGCTTTTCAGAATCGCTCACACTGGACAAATCAGGTCCCTTTGGTTACGAGCGGTCAGTACGGCGAGTTTGATGATACCACCATCGATTTTGATGTGAAGGCATTACTAGAGAATCTTTCGGCAATCGAATCACGCCGAGATCTTGTCATCGGAAAGTCGTCGAATCAAAAATTAAACGGTGCAAATGGGACAACCATTTCAACCGATACCTTCCCAGCCTTGGAAAAACCCTATTTTAACATGTTGGGCGAAATATTTGCGGACAGATTGTTTATCGCAAACGCTATCTCGAAACCTAATGTCGGCCATCCAGATATCATAAAATCGACTCCAGAATTCGGATTTGGTGTTTTGCTCGCAAAACTTCAGAAACGTGCAGAATTGGCCGAAAGAGTTTCACAGGTGATCAAGGACACATCTATTACATTATCCGAGCCCTTACTCAAATCGTTATCACAATGGCTCCTTCATAAGGATGATGCGAAGAAATCCAAGGAATTCGGGAATGCAGCCATCGAACATCTTGAAAAACTGTACAAGAAAAATTCGTCCCTCGAAGAAATTTACAATCAAAGGGAGCTATTCGTTAAACCGGCTAATTGGCTTATCGGTTCGGATGCTTGGATGTATGATATAGGTGGATCTGGAGTTCATCATGTTATTTCCTCGGGGAAAGATGTTAATCTCTTAATCATCGACTCTCAACCTTACACCTCGCGTGCCGCGTCCGACCCGGAGAAGCGTAAGAAGGATATCGGTCTGTATGCAATGAATTATGGAAATGTTTACGTGGCATCAGTCGCCGTCTACTCTTCCTACACTCAGGTCTTGCACGCACTGATAGAAGCTGAGGGATACCGGGGTCCCTCAATCGTACTGGCGTATTTACCTTACGACAGTGAAGATGATAGTACCATCAAAGTATTGAAGGAGACAAAGTTGGCGATCGACACCGGTTATTGGCCCTTGTATCGGTGGAATCCTGCATTGGAAAAAGAAGGTAAAGAACCTTTCACACTAGATTCCGAGAAAATTAAACGAGAGCTTCAAGAGTTCTTGGACAGAGAAAACCTTCTCACGCAACTTACGAATTCTCAACCGGAACTTTCCACCGTATTAACGAACTCCCTTGAGTCGGAGGTGAAATCACGACAAAAATCTCTCGCGGCATCAGCATACGAAAAGCTCATGAACGGTTTAACTGGACCATCGCTCTTGATCCTATTTGGATCGGACAATGGTAACGCAGAGGGTCTGGCCAAGAGATTGCACGCAGGCGCCAAGGCACGTAGCGTAAACTCCCGATGTATGGCTATGGATGACTAACCGATCGAAGATATCACCACTGAAAAAAACGTGGTGTTCGTTGTGTGCACAGCTGGACAAGGAGAGTTCCCGCAAAATGCTCGCGAGTTCTGGAAGACGATATCTACGACCACTGAACTCTCTTTTTCGGAGACGCAATTTGCGGTGTTTGGTCTTGGTGATAGCAAATATTGGCCGCGACAAGAGGATGCGATTTATTACAATAAGCCCGGAAAAGATTTGTATAGCCGTTTGAAGATTTTGGGTGGAAATGAGTTACTGGATCTTGGATTGGGGGATGATCAGGATGATGACGGGTATGAGACCGCCTTCCAGGCGTGGGAGCCTGAACTTTGGAAGGCTCTCGGGGTGGAACTAGTCGGAAACGTAGAACGCAAGAAGACGGACGATGATATGAAACATGAATCGAATTTTTTGAGAGGTACAATTGCAGAGGGACTCGAAGATACGTCAACTGGAGCGTTGTGTGAAAGAGACACCAAGCTAACCAAATTCCACGGAATATATCAACAAGACGATCGTGATTTGCGCAATGAACGTAAGGAGCAAGGATTAGAGAAAGCCTATTCGTTCATGGTTCGAGTGCGTGTGCCCGGCGGGGTATCTACGCCCCAACAATGGTTAGATATGGATAAGATTGCTGATATGTATGGAAGCGGGTCGTTAAAAATGACAACTCGGCAAGCATATCAATTACACGGCGTTCTCAAGCGAAACTTAAAAGCCGCGATCAGAGGTATCAACAAATGTTTGTTAGATACGTTGGCTGCTTGTGGTGATGTCAATCGTAACGTCATGTGTAATCCGAATCCCTACCTTTCCGAGGTTCACGGTCAGGTGTATGATTTTGCTAAGAAATTGAGCGCACATCTTTCACCCCAGACTACGGCCTACCATGAGATTTGGTTAGATGATAATGTTGTCTCGGGTAAAGCGGTACAAGATTTTGAACCACTTTACGGGCCAACTTATCTTCCACGTAAATTCAAAGTTGCAATTGCAATTCCTCCCAGTAATGATGTTGATGTCTATGCGCATGATTTGGGTTTTATTGCTATTTCGGATAAAGGTAAACTTTTGGGTTACAATGTAACCGTTGGAGGTGGAATGGGGATGACCCACAATAACAAGAAGACGTATCCTAGACTTGGTGAACTTCTCGGCTTCTGCAGACCCGATCAGGCTATCGACGTCGGAGAGAAGGTGATGTTGGTTCAACGCGACTTCGGAGACCGAACCAACCGCAAACACGCACGTCTCAAGTATACAATCGACGACAGGGACTTGAATTGGTTCCGTTCTGAAGTGGAATCTCGCTTGGGATACAAACTAGATCCAGCGGCTCAATATCATTTCGAGGAAAATGCCGATCGATACGGTTGGACAAAAGGTATAGATGACAAATGGCATTTCTGTATGTACATAGAGAACGGTCGCGTCAAAGATTTCCCCGGATTACCAACCAAGACCGGCTTACGCGAAATCGCCAAAATACACAAGGGCGATTTCCGATTGACACCTAACCAACATCTTATCCTTGGTGATGTTTCCGAGAAAGATAAGCCACAAATCGATGAGTTGTTAAAGAAATACAAATTGGATAATCTACAGTATACCGGTATTAGATTGAATTCGATGGCGTGTGTGGCATTACCAACATGTGGTCTGGCAATGGCAGAGTCCGAAAGATACCTTCCTCTGCTTGTGTCGAAATTAGAAGACATTGTAGAAGAGGTGGGACTAAGGGATGATGCTATTACAATCAGAATGACGGGGTGTCCTAATGGTTGCGCGCGTCCTTACGTAGCTGAAATCGCGTTCGTCGGAAAAGCCTTGGGTACGTATAATGTTTATTTGGGCGGAGGATTTCATGGCCAGAGGTTGAATAAATTATACAAGGAAAACATGAAGGAAGATGCGATCTTGAAAGAGTTGAAACCAATTTTATTACGATATTCAAAAGAAAGATTAGATGGCGAAAAATTTGGCGATTTTGTGATTAGGGCCGGCTACGTGAAAGCCACCATAGCTGGAAAAGATTTTCACGACTTGTAATGTTTTTATTCTTAATGAAATTTTTTTGACTGTTTATTATTATATCTTTACTTTGTTCAAGCGAATAATATTTAATTTGAAAACTGCGAAAAATAAATAAATCCATTGTAAGCAACTTGTAATACACCCTTTTTAATAATAAAGGCAACTCACTCATTAAAAATAGTTATACTTTTATCTTTTAAATCAAAGAGACTCTCGCGTTTACTTCATGAATTATTAAACGTCAAGTTGATAATAATAATTACAAGTCACAATTAACTAAGTATCTATGTTAAACATTATATTTAACGGCGACGGTTAGGGGACTTTGATCTTGAACGTGATGACCTTCTCAATCGGCGTTCTTTTTCTCGATCTCTTTCTCGCTCCTTGTCCTTTTCTTTATCCTTATCCCTGTCCTTCTCTTTCTCTTTTTCTCTTTCTTTGTCCCTCTCTTTATCTTTATCCCTCTCTTTATCTTTATCCCTCTCTTTATCTTTATCCCTTTCCTTCTCTCTATCCCTCTCCCTGTCCTTCTCCTTCTCTCTGTCTCTTTCTCTCTCCTTGTCTTTATCTCTCTCTCTCTCCTTATCTCTCTCCTTATCTCTTTCCTTGTCTCTCTCCCTGTCTCTCTCCTTGTCTCTCTCCCTGTCTCTCTCCTTGTCTCTCTCCCTGTCTCTCTCCCTGTCTCTATCCCTGTCTCTATCCCTGTCTCTATCCCTCTCTCGATCTCTATCCCTATCCCGGTCCCTATCTTTTTCCCTCTCCCTCTCTCTGTCCCTGTTGTCCTTTTCCCTTTCCTTCTCTCGATCATTATCCCTTATTTTATCTTTATCTTTTATTTTATCCTTATCCTTTTCACCATCTTTCACTTTATCCTTGTCCTTTTCTCTTTCCTTTTCCTTTTCTTTCTCCCTATCTTTCTCCTTGTCACGATCTTTCTCTCTATCTCGATCTTTATCACGATCCTTCTCTCTATCTCGATCTTTGTCACGATCCTGGACCCTATCCCTCTCACGTTCTCTATCTCTCTCTCTCTCTCTTTCTCTCTCCCTGTCACGATCGCGATCACGATCCCTATCACGGTCACGTTCTCTATCACGATCCGCTCTGTCCTTGTCTCGTTCACGGTCACGATCTCTATCTCTCTCGCGTTCTCTATCCCGCTCACGGTCACGGTCGCGGTCACGATCTCGGTCTCTATCACGGTCGCGGTCTCTTTCTCTGTATCGATCGCCTTTAAAAAATTATAAAAATTAATAAGAAAATAAATGATAACTGCAAAGACCGAAACCAATTACCAACCTCTATCGCGATCTTTCGAACGGGATCGGGAACGGCGCCTGCGATAATGATAATCTAATAATGTCAAATGAAATGAGTCGTTTGAATTAAAGCGATTATCATAACATCATTATGATTCACCCATACCTCTCTCCCTAGATCTTGATCTACGTCTTCTAGGCCTACTCCGGCTCCTCGATTTAGATATAGTTCTACTGCGTCTAACAGATTTTGACCGACTGCGGGGCATGGTTGTTTCGGCAGCAGCAGGTGAGTTGGCGTCCATCATTTCGACATCATTCATAGATGTCGGAGAGTTGTCCGCCGTCGGCCCGTCTGTATTTAATCGATTAGCGATTCTCAACTGTGCCTCTCTAACTCGACGCATAGTTGCTTGAACATCGGTAGAATCGGTTTTTTTAGGAGTTTTGTTGATCGCGTTCTTCGAATGATTGACTCTGAATGTCGATGAATTTTTTAAAAGTTAAATGATAAGTAAATAATATAACAACATGTAATTCTTACTTTAACGGCCGGTCACCCAACATAACACCATTCATCTGCATAGCGGCTTGGGCACCTTCGAAAGTTGCAAACTCCAAGAATGCAAATCTTGTCGGTTGGGCTGGATCCCCGGCCATCTTCACGTAAGCGACCGGACCACATGCCGAAAAGAACTGCGTTAACTCCGGTTCCGATATCGAAGAATTGATATTTCCGATGTACACGGTCCTCGAAATTTCTTCCGCTTTAGCCGGGTCGAATTGAGCAACAGTCGGAGAAATAGAAGGGTTTGCTCTTATTGCAGCCAGTGAAGTTGCCGAAAATGACAAAGCTAAAGGTTGTACCAATGGTCGGGGAGGAATCGATTGTGGTTGTTTCGTCGAAAGTGGTCTAGGTGGAGATATATTTTGTGGAAGCAGTTGAGGTAAAGTCGGAGGCGGTTGATATGAGTTCACATTAACACTAAGAGCGGTTGATGAAACCATCAACGATCGACCACCGATTTCCACACCAGTTAAATGTAAGGCCGTTATGGCCGAATCTGTATCCCTAAATTCTATCATGCATTCTTGCACACCATCTCCGTGAGGACTACAAAAATTAATCTCTGATCAACTTGCAGTTCTTACCAAAACCTTTGAGCACGGCGTAAAAGAAATAAAGTCGAATAACCTATTGTAAAGATTTATGCTTTTTACTTCACCCAAGAATTCAAATAGTTTTTTTAAAATGGGTTCTGTTACACGGGGTGAAATGTTTGCGACCTTTTAAAAGAATGCCGAAAATAGTTTCGCAAATTAATGTCTCGGGGAGGCGTTTGAAGAACGCGGGTCTAGAATAAAATAAATAAAATACCTTTACAACGTTATCTACTGACATTAGATGAATCAAATCTCGAGATTACAATAGCTCCACCTTTTTATACGGTGATCTTTTTTGATTGGTCAATTATACGTGCATAATGCATAAGGTGCTACGTAGTACAAGTTTTTTTCAAACCGTTCGAGGGCTTGTGTTAGCAACGATGAGTCATGGTCACTTAACTACTATAAAATGTTCCGAAAAAACCAAATTCCACCTTCCGCCCTTAAAAAATGGGAGGATTATACTTATTAGATTATGGCGCCGGAAACGTTCGTAGCTTGGTGAACGCTGTAAATTATCTAGGTTATAAAATCGAATGGGTCAGAAAACCTGAAGACATTTTGAAAGCAGAAGTGAGCGAATGTACTTTCGTCGAATTATGGATAAAACCGATGTCGATCTAACAAACACTACTATATTCATTATCATTTACGCGATTTTTATGAAGAAACTGATTTTTCCGGGTGTCGGCGCATTCGGTAGCGCGATGGAGTCCTTGGTATCCAAAGATTACTCGGAACCCCTAAAACAATACATCTCATCGGGTAAACCATTCATGGGGATATGTGTCGGCATGCAGACTCTGTTCGATCACTCCGAGGAAAATCCTCAGATTCCTGGATTAGGCGTTATTCCGGGTACCGTGAAACTTTTTAATAAATCGGACAAATCAGTACCGCACATGGGGTGGAACGAGACATCCCTCCTCAGGGCAATCAAAGGTGGTGATGAAGAACAACACCGAGAATTCCAACACGGCATCCGAGAAGGATCGGTTTACTACTTTGTTCACTCCTACGCAGTTCCCTATTCCGATGAACTCAAAGAATGGGCCCTCTCGACCACTCAGTATGGTAAGGAAATATTTGTAAGTGCAATTCAAAAAGACAATATTTTGGCCACACAATTTCATCCCGAAAAGAGCGGATACGCGGGCCTACAAATTCTGAGATCTTTCCTACAAAGAGGTGACATATTAAACACCTCTGATCAAAAAGTAATAATAAAAAATCCGGAATTATTATTGCAAGATCGCTTCACCAAAAGAATAATCGCATGCTTAGATGTAAGGACCAATGATCAAGGGGATTTGGTAGTAACGAAAGGGGATCAATACGACGTACGTGAACGTAATAACACAGACACTTCAGGACAGGTTCGTAATCTAGGAAAACCTGTTGATCTTGCGTGTCGATATTTTGAGGAGGGCGCAGACGAAATTACATTTTTGAATATTACGAGTTTTCGCAATTGCCCCCTGACCGATTTACCCATGTTGGAAATTCTGAAGCTCACATCCGAAACAGTTTTCGTCCCATTAACGATTGGCGGAGGTATCAGAGATTTCACTGACCCCGATGGTAAAATTCACACCGCACTCGAAGTAGCCGGTGAATATTTTAGGTCTGGTGCGGATAAAGTCTCAATTGGTAGTGACGCGGTATACGCCGTGGAAAAATACTTGTCCAACAATTCGAAATTATCAGGCGACACTGCTATTGAAACCATTGCTCGTGCCTATGGATCTCAGGCAGTCGTGATATCCGTGGATCCAAGGCGTATCTATGTTAAATCTCCGAGTGATGCGCCGGGTCACCACGTAATCCCTACGAAATATCCGGGTCCGAGCGGTGAAACATGGTGTTGGTATCAATGTACCGTAAAAGGTGGTCGAGAAGGAAGGGACGTTGACGTTTTTCAATTGGTAACCGCGTGTGAAGCTATGGGTGCCGGAGAAATACTTCTTAATTGTATGGATAAAGATGGTACAAATTCTGGGTATGATCTTGAGTTGATAAAGGATGTTAAAATGGCCGTCAAGATTCCGGTTATTGCTTCAAGTGGTGCCGGTAGGGTGGAGCATTTTTCCGAAGTGTTTTCTGAAACTGGAGTAGAGGCCGCCCTTGCGGCTGGCATATTTCATCGACGTGAGGTACCTATCCAAGTTGTTAAAGACTATCTAAAAGGAAACAATTTTTTGGTGCGAAATGAAACTCAAATTTATAAATTTAATTAAGACAGAAATGTTGTTGCAAAGGTTATTCGTATGGTGAAACTAAAAAAAAAAAAGATCAGTCTTATAATAGAGAGGCGTATATATACTCACAGTAATAA